AGAACTGAACCCATGACCTCGGCGTTGATAGTGCCAATGCTCTACGGTTTCAGATACAGGTTTTATTTATATCTATTATAAATACTATTCTATTATCGGTTCAAACATTAGGACACTTGGCCAATGTTAGGAAAATGGCCAATAAAAGCAAAGCAATTAAAATGAACCATTGCAATATTCACTGTGCTGTTTAACTGTAAAAAGTCAGCATAATTATTGCAAATTTTTCATAAATATTTATAATATCGTACAGCCCCAACTAATAGAAATGCCTGTTTTAGCAAACGCCACCAATGATACAACAACTACATTTCTGTAAGAAGATACTTCTGTGACAACAAGCTGTGTATAAACAGAAGAATGTAATACTTCAACGCAGTGATGTGACTTTTTAAGCATCTGGCTAATACAATATTTATTTTTCTCTCAGTTCTTTCTCTGTTTTCATTGCCTTGCATTCACTATCACTCTTTTTTTGCTCTCTGTACTTTAGCCTCCACCTTTGCCTCTGTCTTCATTTAGATGGGTCTGGATGACGTTTATTCTTCAGGATTTCACACGGCAGTTTCCAGCGAAGCAGAGCAGTCTGCCAGCTCCAGACTTTTTGAATGGGAAGGAGAGCCCCTCGTCCACCGTCGTCATGGGTTACGACGTGCACTCCACATGCCTCAGTTGTCAGAGGAGGCCCGGGTCGGATTACAGCCTTGCTTAGGAATTCACCCCCCACCATTTCTCAGACATAGCCAGTCACGGGTTTTCTGTTTAGTTCGGGGCTGGCTGGCTCTGGCTGGACTCTCTAATGATTTCGGAAGTGTGGCTTCAGCCATGTAAACAGACTGTGTGGCCTGTAAACTCTGCTTTTCCTGTTATCTGCTGCTAGTCGAACATTTAGACACGAGTCTGCGTGCCTTGTGCCTCATTTTCAGTTTCAAACACAGTGCGATAAACAAATGGGGGGACAGTCACACACACACACACACACACATGGACGAAGAACAAACAAAGCAGACCCTCACTGAACAAGCACTCTCTCACACACACACACACACACAGAGGCCTGCACACATCGATAAACACAAAACCACTTTAAAAAGACAGATTTCCTGATGTTCACTATGTGTTTCAATAGTGTTTCAACTTGAAGAGCAGCAGCATGACAAGAAACATGTTTGGAGTAGGGGGGACAGTCACACACACACACACACACATGGACGAAGAACAAACAAAGCAGACCCTCACTGAACAAGCACTCTCTCTCTCACACACACACACACACACACACAGAGGCCTGCACACATCGATAAACACAAAACCACTTTAAAAAGACAGATTTCCTGATGTTCACTATGTGTTTCAATAGTGTTTCAACTTGAAGAGCAGCAGCATGACAAGAAACATGTTTGGAGTAGTAGTATACTCTTAAAAATAAAGGTGCTTCAAAAGGTTCTTCAAGCGATGCCATAGAAGAACCATTTTTGGTTCCACAAAGAACCATTCAGTCAAAGGTTCTTTAAAGAACCATCTCTTTCTTACCTTTTTATAATCTGAAGAACCTTCTTTCGCCACAAAGAACCTTTTGTGAAACAGAAGGGTTCTTCAGATGTTAAAGGTTCTTTATGGAACCATTTAGACAAAAAGGTTCTTCTATGGCATCGTGAAGCACCTTTATTTTTAAGAGTGTACTAGTATAGTTTTTAATGACATGTCAACAACTGAGGCTATTTTCATGGCAAGAACTGAATTCAGTAAAATATAAACCAAACGAAAATAAAAATACAGCAGTTAGGATTATATAAGATGTTTTACATTTACACATGATGAAAATTCTAAAACGTTTTTCTGGAAAAATCTTACTAAAAAAGTCCTCAAGTGAGCTTATTGAATAAAAAAAATGTTGTCTACTTGTATTAAAAGCAGGACAGTCCAATCAAATATTGAAGCATGCCGGTAAAAAGGCTTTTTTCAATATTTGTACAAAGCGTTGTGAAACGTCCCTTCAATAACTATGTACACTTGAACCCACTGTCCTTTGAGAGAAACTCTATTGGAAGTGTGGAAAATAAAAATAAACCAAGCTTATTTAATGAATACTCATTTCAAAAATTCTCTACATTATTCAGTTACATCAGCGACCAGGAAGGCAGCTAATGTTACTGGCCTAGCCTAGCGCCCTCTGTTCAACAACATAGTGAGGTAGACTGTAAATCTTACACTTAAAAACCTGGTCATTTATGGTAAACTCCAGTCTAAGGGCAACAAAGAGCACAGGAATTGGATATATGAGATTGTGCCTCCAGGCCACAGGAGAATTTGGGCAATTAACAGACACAATGTTGCAAAAAATGTGGATGCTATGGCTAACAAGGTTCACTGGCTCCATATTTTGCAATCTTTGAACAATGTCATGACTGAACTCTGAAGGATCACGACGGACGGCAAGATGCACAAGCTGAATGACACACTGAGATGTAGCTGGTGATTAAGATCACGACAAAATGCAAAAGTAAAATCTGAATGACTCGTTGAATTGTAACTACAGATCAAAAGAGATTCAAGAAGTGATTCACTGCTAAGCAAAAAGTGAAGTGTGAATTGTAACCAGAATCTTATGTATTGTGTTCCTTTTGAAACTGACTGACAGAAAATAGGCCACCATCTCTAAAACAGGTTTGTTGAAATCAAAAGAACTGTAGTGCAACTACCTTTTAATATGAAGAATTACGATTATTTCTCTCCTTTTCTTCTCAAGACCCTTCAGGACTTCATTATTATTTGCCATGATGCAAGAGAGCAGCTGTGCACTTACAGCTAAATGTTAAAAAAAATTATTTGTGGAGAAAATGTCAACATGCTTTATTGTACGCTACATCATCTCAGTCCTATCATAATCCCATTCAAGGCCTGACAAAAAAAAGACAACACATACTACAATCCATCTACCCTAGTATAGTGGTTCTGGTTTACATTTGGCTCAATCGGAATCGAAACCAATCAAGCTTCAGACGACACTTCAGGTTAGCGGAATAATGGTCGTCTGATGGGGCCTTATGTATCAAAACACCAGCAAAGGAAGTAGCGGTAATTGTGGTAACGAAGACAAGCGTTGTTCACATCGCCTTATAGACGGTTTGACCTGGTTCAGGGGTGTCTGTGTGGAATAACGTTAAAAAGGCGTCAGCTGCAACATATCTACCATTTCTTCACGTTAGGTAGCCTACCTTAGGCCTGTCGCAATAATCAATATATCGACTTATCGCGCAATATATGTACATGACCTAAATAATTTTTGGTGACGCAATATATCGCCCATTATTTTCCCTTAAAAATGTATGTCATCATGTTTTGTACATTCCACTTGTGCCGGTGTCTTTTGCAGCTTCTCGTACATAACGTGTAGTCATGAGGTGCTAGTTCAATTTTTTTTTTTAAATGCTTCTACAAAAAAAAAAAAGTTTCATCTGCATATATGGCCTTGTTTAGGGATCTGTGCCTTTGTGCGTACAGACATCTGACTGCTAAGTAGAGATTGTGTTTTTCAGCAATAGTGCGCACCCTTAATTTACAGAGAAAAGAAGGTCAGGAAAAAAAAATCTGTAGATGGAAAAATCTCTATACAAGTTCTTTGTGCATTTTTCTTTTTTTTTGTACTTGTTACTTTGCACTTTTTGCACTGTTTTTTTTAAGGTATCTAATATTTTGATACTTAATTTACATGATCTAAATATTCTTAAAAATTAAAAGTTTGTTGTCATTTGGAAGTGTGTAGGCCTTCTTGCATTATTATGCTGTTACATTATGATTATATATTCAGTGGCATAAAATGGTCTTTAAAATGCCAATAATATCGCTTATCGCATTTATTTCTGGGGAAATATATCGCACAACAAAAAGTTGTTATCGTGACAGGCCTAGCCTACCTCAGTGAAAGCGTAGCATATAGCGTACACGCCAAGTTCGTCGTCACCCTACACGCAATAACTAGTATTTGTAAAAACCACGACTCGCTTTTCAACACGCTAAATGGATGTAGGAGGCTGATGTTTTCCCGTAACGCGTACCGACTGTCAAACGATACAATGTTACAGCATTATAACGCTGGCGTTCTGACGTCGGTTACAGATGAAAGGACCGCCGGTGGTGTTCGAAACAATGGCTGCGTCCGAAAGCCAACCGAACGCAACTTTCAGCCGCCATCTTTGGCTGCGTCCGAAAGCTCTAAAATGCCAAGGCAGGAAGGCATCGAGGCACGTCCGAACCCAAATCCTGCTTCACTTCCTGTCTCCGGAGGTACCTTCTTCTGATCGAATTCTGAAGGCAGCATAGATGTATCCTTCGCTGCCTTTGATATCCCACAATCCTGTGCGTTTAAATCCGTGAGGTTGAGCTAAAAAATAAAGATGGCGCCTGAAAGTTGCGTTTGGTGGTCAGTTTGTGAGTAAATGTATATTTCTGACTAACTTGTTGCACTTTTGATGTTATTTCTAGCGAGAAATCAGTATTATAGTAATTAAATATTAGTTTAGTTATCACCAAATCTCGTTCTACTTCGTTGTCGATTATTAAACCGTTACGCTGCCTCAGAAGCCTGTCCGAAATCAGTTTCATGAGGTGCCTCGAGGTGCAAAGTCATTGCCTGATAAGTCAGCTGCCTAGGCTTTCGGACACAGCCTTTATTTTTGAGCTCAACCGTCTCGGAACGGAACGCACAGGATTGTGGGATATCAAAGGCAGCGAAGGATACATCTATGCTGCCTTCAGAATTCGATCAGAAGGTGGTCCCTCCGGAGACAGGAAGTGAAGCAGGATTTGGGTCCGGACGTGCCTGGGAAGGCAGCACTTCGGCGCTTTCGGACGCAGCCAGTGTCACAGGTCGTGCTGGACACATTCACACAGCATCTGTCTGAGATTACATCATCAGGATAGGTGCACGGCTGTAAAGTCAAGTACATGCGATTAAAACATGACAGATCACATTTCCGCGGTAGTTTTCCCGTACTCACCCTCTCTTGCCTTCAGGAGTACCGTGTTCGCAACAATATTCTCCAGCTCCATCAAAAAACCCCTCCGTGGTATTGCCGTGGAAGCCGAAGAGTAGCTAGAGCTCCTTATTGCGCCTCCCAGCCGAACACGCTCTTTTCCGTCCGTACAAAAGTATTTAAAACAAAAACCTAGGCATTTTAAACTACCAACACACGTATAGACAAGTAAAGCAACGAATCGCTGGCGCGCGCGTGCGGTTGTTGTAGTTTGCGCCACAAAACGCGCGAGGAAGGCATTGCCTGTTCAAACACAGCGTTGTCGAGCCACCGGCGGCAAGTCCGGTTAAAGCGAGCATGTCAGAGACGGCAGGCCGGGGTCTACATCCTCTGAGGGTGCTCGGCAGAAAACGGATCAAGTATCGCACGGTTGATCACAGAGGAGTTTAGTTGTTGAAGTGCCGCTGTCACTATCAGCGTGCTCCCTCTCTCGGTGCGTAATCGAAGCAGGGCTGGGTTTCTGCTTTCAGTTGTAATTTTTGGCTGGGTCCCAAGCGGCTTTCCCCGTGGCTCCGGTCAGATGTACAGCGGTGGAGCGGCTTTCAAATGGCGTAGCGATGCGAGCACGCGTGCGGTTATAACAGTATATGAGATTCATCTTCAGCGCTTGCCATGTCTCCTGGTCATGCCTATTCAACAAGCGTTTGGAAGGGGCGTGTCTAATGCAGCTGTGACGCACGCGCTGAGAGCAAGCATGCATGGCTGTCGAAGGATATTTGATAGCAGCACATTCAGTCGGCGCTGGGCGCAATAATAGAAAATGGGATAGCCCAGGATCGAAAGTCAAGGCCAATAAATAGCAAAGAAAAATGCGCACCCTTTTTTTTCCCCCATGTAAACGGTGGCCATTTTTCCTCAACATTACATTTATGGCGCTTATCAGTTTTGTGTACTTAGGCTAATTGAGCAACCGAGACAAGACAAGTAGATCAAATGTAAGCAACATCACACGAGCAAGAATGTTGTTGAACAACTGTGATTCGGCCTAAATGCAATCACTGATGATATTCAGACCGACAACGCAAATGCGAGTTGTGGTATTGCTTTTGTAAAACAATTCAATAAAAGAGCCAGAACTAAAAAAACAAAACAAAAATCTTAAAGTCAGCGTGAAATCAAAATGGACTTTATTTACTTTACTAGCGCACATTGCTAGTCTTGATGTGAACGATTAATCAGTGCAAATTAATCCGCTGAAAACAATAGTTTGTCTTGGTAATCTTTAATAAAAACCTGAACAGTTGCTTCGGCTCTGGAATGGCGTTCCGTCTCTGAGTAGTCAGTTTGACGGCTTGGCCAGAATATGCTTAAACACGCCCCTCCCTCCGTTAGATCTGTGAGTGCGCGACCGAGGGGAGGAGCCCAAACATAAAACCACGCCCTCTATTCAATATTCCGTTTCAGCTGGAAACACGTCACTGCACTGAAACATCCGGTTCACGCGGACTTTCCTCGTTAGACTACATTTTACCAGTTAGTATATTTTTGCGTCTTTGTCAGTGAAAATAGTGCCAAAAGCAAAGCATCAAGTTTTGTGTCAGCGCACATACTGAAATCCGGACTGTAATCATGGATGAGTGGATGGAAATTTCACCTCACCCGGTTCTGAGTTTTCTCTGAAACTTTAGCAACTACTACTTAGTTATAATAGACATTTTAAATCCAATTGTGACATTTAAGGAATTTACCCCTTAACAACAATGCTCTACATTCTACATACTCTGAAGAAACTATATGATCTATTCTACACTATAACATGATTCTTAGAAATTGAAAATATTTATTGTTAATATTAAATAGGATTATTGGAGTATGTTTTACAAGAAAATGCTATTTTCAGCCTTTCTACTTCCGAATTTCATTTATTAATGTCCTACATTTCTTTGTAATACAAGCAATTTCTAAGTAAAAATGTTGTCAGTGTTAGCAAAATTATTAGACTCACTGTAATACGTCTGCAATTCACTCTAATATATTCACTGTAGCCACGGCCTGCGCTCTTCTAAGTATGTGAAAACACTGCTGTGTCTAACAGAATGCTAGATGTCCTTCTTCTCTAGGAGAACTATTGCCTCAGAACAGAAGGCAAAATCACCCCATAGCTACCGATTAATGCAAGGACATGTTTCACATGAAAACCCTAATTGGGAAATAAGGCCACTGTACCAGCATATACGGAAGATTAAAAAAAACAAAATAATAATAATAATGTTCTTTTATAATAATATTCTGTGCTCTATTCAAACATCCAGTGTAAATGCACTCTAATATTTTAAAACCGTGTTGATTGGCTTCTAAAAGCATTTTTGGAGATTAATCATCAAAAATCATTTTGACCAAAATTAAATGTGGTTTTTAGAAGCAAGTAGAGTGAAACAATTAAAAGTAGATTGTCATCGGTATAAAATAGGTTTAATAGAACAAAAATATTTTCAGTGTTGTTTCATGTGTTTTACATACTATACCAACTTAATAACCATAGCGTCATATCCATAACATAGTGAACACTGAAATAAACGTATTTTCTTGTATACCATTATTGTTGTTTACAAAGTTGAAACTAAAAGCCAACAGGCCAAGTGCTTTAGTTTGGTGCTCCATCCTTCATTTCACTATGGCATCTGCCATAAAAGAAACAAAGATGGTGGGAAATTCCCCAAAAATGCCTTAACAGCAACTAGTGAAACAAAATCTTGAAGTCGCAATCTTGTGAGACTCACTCCTCTATCATCAGACAGAATGATTTCAAAGTCAAGACAGAACGTCGTCTCAAACCAAACAAAACCATTCAATAAAACAGAAATAAAATCATCCAAAAATAACTAAAGATGTTTCAGAAATCATCTAACGTGTCAGCTTTAGGGATGGATAAGCCTCGCTCTTTCACCGCCTGTAGCTTCAGTCTCTCCGACTCTTGCTTGGCTTGCTGTTCTGTCCGCTGTTCCTCCAGGATCTCCTCAATGGAAACTCTCTGGAGGATCTGATCATACTCTTTATCCAGATCCTGGAAGAAAAAAATAGCACAAGGTTAACCTTCAGTGAGTAGTGGCAAGATTTATGATTTGTTATCCTCATTAAATTTTGCTTCATCGTACACCACAGGCCTTACAAATAATACGCAGTGTCATAAAATCCTTCCCAGGGCAGATTGAACACATGTACTTACTACTTCTCCAAGCAAGACCACATTTTCTCCTCTGACGACAAATATCCCGCGAGGTATGTCACCAAATTTCTTACCAACGTGGATACGTTCAACCGTTTGATGCAAAACTAAATTAGCTGTGGGGGGGGAAAAAAATCAATAAATAATGCAAGTTCACTGTTGGAACGTAATGGTCAATTTTACAGTACTGAATAATGTCAATTTCCTTTTCACATTATTACTGGTCATTTACTCTCCCTCATGTTGTTACAGATGTGTACGACTTTATTTTTGCGGAACACAAATTATATTTTGAAGAACGCTGGGGTTTACTGTACAGGCAAAATAAATAAATATACTAAAACACACACACACATACATACATACATACATACATACACATACATATATATATATATATATATATATATATATATATTCTTTTTTATAGGGGGGATATTCATTGATCTGCATATAGATATGGACTAACATGAGAGTGAGTAAATTACACATCACAATATTTTTACACATCGAATTATTAACATCAAACAGCGGAATATATGTGTATATATATATATATGTATGCTTGCACATTAACAAGGTCAGGCCTCTATACATACCAAACTGATCTATGCTTCTAAGGATCCCAATCAATGTTCTTCCGTCGCGAAGCAGAACAAGGTGTTTCTCTAACAAGGGGGAAATCAAAGCATCGTCAGTCACATCAATACTGCTGAACTTGAATATTTCCCCATGAGTTTATTATATATGATCATACGAACATCTGCACTGAGGCGATTATTATTCATGCGAACTAGTCCATCTTGCGGAACAAAAGCCAACAGGACAGGATTTCTATTTTTATCTTAAACATGTAACGTTACCACCAAAGTGACTTTTATAAATGCTCAAAGATGCTAGGCGAGCATCATTACACAACGCTAGCTGTGTCTCAGCGGGTGAATTCACTCAAATACTCTCACTTTCTTTTGCAGTAAACTTACTATCAATGTCCTCGATGAGGCTCGCGGTCCCTGGCATGTAATTCATTTTGCTGACATTTGGGAGATTTATTTTAAACGTGAAGTATCAAGCCATGGACCATTTCAAATGTGTATCCTTATTCCACAGGATGTAACACTGTGAAAGTGCTTCCGGTTCGATTTAACCCTTTAAACTCTCGCTTACTTCTTCCAAACGTCCCAAGCTTAACTTTAAAATATTTTTTTTAACTATCATTTCTCTGCGTTTTTAGTTAGATTCACTGATGATCCGTGATTTATTTACATAATGCGAACGCAAACGAATCGTTCATTTGACTCGGATCTTTTCAATGAACCGGTTGAACTGATTCACAAAGTCGCCCTCTCTGATTAGACTCTCATTTGACTCGGATCTTTTCAATGAACCGGTTGAACTGATTCACAAAGTCGCCCTCTCTGATTAGACTCTCATTTGACTCGGATCTTTTCAATGAACCGGTTGAACTGATTAGACTCAGAGCCGTTGAGTCTGATTAGACTGAACTGTAACACTTTTTTCAGGCAAGAGATGTAATGGATTTTACGCTTCAAGAAAAATCCTGCATAATGTACTGTGTTGATTTTTCACAGGTGTGTTACCCGTATTTTGAATCACGCATTGCATTGTGTTTTAGGGTTGAAGGAAATGTCCAGGAAACTTGTACTGATAATTTTCTACCGGGACATTATCCGTTTTAATACGGATTTTTTTCATACAGTGTAATATTATTTAAAGTAACTAAAATTATATTAACGTTATAAAATATTAGTTTTTAGAAATGCAACCAACTGAACGGTGACACGTGAAACTGCAATCAAAAATCTTATTAATAACTCAGTGATCAATTATTAAATTAATTACATACAGGACCATTACGTTTTAATGTAAAAGAATCACTGAAACGAACGCTTTTATTAAACGAATCTATCCTCTCATTTGCTGACATTTTTCATTCATACATTTTTTCCCCCAAAATCCCCCCACAAATAACGTTAGTGGTTTTTAAAGAGGAATTTGTAATATATTTAGAGACATTGAGAGGGATGAGCAAGGTCTTTGTATATTTTATTAGAGGATTTGCTTTATAATGTAAGCCTCCTACTCCCCTACTTTTTATTTGTATTTTGTCAGATGTATTTATATATTTATTTATTTATATATCTGACATGTTGTATAGAGTGTTATATGAAAATGTCTTGATATGTAAATCTTTCAGTTATGAATGCCTTTCTTTGGTGTTGTTCAAAGCATTTGAATTTTTTTTTTAAACCGAATCTCTTGAAAGGAACCGATTCGCAGAACTTGCCCACTACCAGAGCCGTTGGGAAACATGAATGTGGCGTCGCCGCAGTGCTCGTCTCCTATTGGCCAGCTGAACTGTCAGTCAAGGAGCGTCGGCTGGCGAGCTGAGGTGAATGACAGCGCCGTGCCTCAGCAGTGTACATACAAGACAAAATGGGAAATAATATATCCAGTTGACGCACTGTAGCTACAGCATTTAGTGAAACGTGGCGGCAGACCATTAGAGACCGGTTTAGAGAAGACCTCTTCCATTCTAAACCAAGCTGTGACTGACGGAAGTGAACTTAGGACGGAAGGAGTTAGTGGTTTAGTCACGAATGGCTTTCGACTCGGTTGGCGGCGACCGCGGCGGCGGTGAGGCTGCGTGGATCATGCATCAGCAGATGCAGTCTGATCCCAAGTCTTCCTGGCCTTCCAGCTACAACTCGGACAACAGTCACTGGAACAACGGCATGGTGAGTCTTTTGTCATGTGATACTGATAGAGGCTGCGAGGACAGATGAGCAGATTAGCATTAATAACGCTTTCTCTCACGGCAGAGCACCGCGCTGTACGACACGGACCCCACAGCACGGACCGCGGGTCTGTAGTAAATCATCAGGCGAAACACATGCTTTCTGTCTAGCGTAGCGCGCTCGGGGTTGCCTGGACAGTTTTGTTTACTAGCGCAGCTACGGTGGCTATAGAAAAGAATCACCTCCTGTAAAATAATCACATTTTGTTGCTTTGCAGCCTGAAATGAAGATGGGCACAGTTTTTGTTTCATCTAGCTGTATTTACTGCATGCAACTTATAACATCCTGGTGAAAGATGTAACTCCAACATGTCAGAAAAAAAATAAACAGAATCACTGAGTTGGAAAAAGGATCGCCCCTTCCTAAAAATTACTTGTGAACTCAATCAGGTGTAGCTAATCACCTTCTCAATGGCACAGAAAGCCATTTGACTTTCAACTGTGATCAGCTGTGCTCATTTTGATCAGCTGAGCATGAAAAGAGCTTTTCTGGAGCATTTCAGGCCTTGGTAGTGCAACTGAAGCAAACAATCAACTATGGGTGGCAAGGCTCTGTCAAGAGATCTCCGGGATAAAGTTGTGGACAGGCACAAGTCAGGAGATGGAGACCAAAAAATGTCAAAGGCTTTAACAATGCCTAGAAGCACAGTGCTATTAAGAAGTGGAAGGTATTTGGTACAACACAGTCCCTCCCTGGATCAGGACGTCACTCCAAACTGGATGAAAGAGTCAGGAGGAAACTGGTCAGAGAGAAGACCAAGAGCTACAGCAAATCTGAAGCAG